TGTCGTTGTAATTTGTTGTTCTTCCCCGATTAATTACGATTAAGAATGAGGTTTATATATGCAATGTACCTGAGAAGTTAATATTTGTGTTCCAAAGCAATCTTTTCTTCTCTCTTTTCCCCTATAATCAGTTGTTTTCAGAATCCATGTACCTACACGATACCATTCAAGTTCTTCAAAGTCCAGAGTTTTTGTCACGCACCTTGAAAAATAAATATTTTTTCCCGAACAGCAATAATTTTATTTAAGCATCGATAAATTTATCCTTCGATTATTAGTTTATAGAAGCTTTTACTAAACTTTAAGACTCCACCTCCACCTCCACTCCTAATAAAACATAATTTGAAGTATACATGCAAAATAAATTTTAACAAAGTTTATTTACACATACGAGTGTTTTCGAAATATTTAAATTCTCTACATAGATGAGCTAAGCTATTATACCTGCATCAACATTACTAGCCTTATGAACAACACCTACCAAATCAGCTCCAATAAAACCCGGTGTAACTCACATAATTGCACAAGATCATGAGAATCATCAATTTCCCATTTCTAACTCATTCCCTTCATTATGATTAGTACAAGTCTAACAACAGGTACAGATTCAAAACCTAAAATACCGAAATTAACTTATAAAATTTATAGCACCAAGGAAAACAAGACTAGTCATCATACAATATGTCAATTATACACAGATACATTGTGTATCAGTATCACACACAATAAGAGGTGTTGCAAACCAGTCACTAAACTTGATGACCCACGATAGGCACTACAGCCTACAAAAGCACCTGATAAGAAAACTCACTTCATTTTTCTATGTTGAGAGCTTCCACGCATAAACCGGCATATGGCTTCATCATCAGATTCCAGATCCAATAACATCTGAAATGTAGACGAATCCGCAGAAAATCTTTTACCAACCATTTCATCAATAAGTTGTACGGCAGTAGATGAGTCCTGATTTTTAAGAAATCCTTGAATGATAACATTATAAGAGCAACTGTCTGGCAAGAAGCCATCATCTTCCATTTTTCTAAACAATTTGTATGCTTCATCTGACAGCCCTTCTTTAAGAAGTCCCCAGATCAAGACATTGTATGTTCGTACAGTAGGTTGTATTCCATCCGTAGCTAGCTTGGAAAATAGTTCCTTTGCAACTTCAAGCTTCCCAGCAATAAACATGCCCTGAATAAGAATATTATAAATGACGATATTAGGTTTGATTTTCCTCTCTTTCATTTCCATGAGCAATTGTAATGCCTCATCTAAATCTCCATGTTTGCAGCAGCCATCTAGCAAAATTGAGTAAGTCATCAAATCTGGAAGAAGGCTTGAAGAGCACATCTCCTTGAAGAGATTTAGAGCTTCCTGAGGTCTCCCTACTTGGCAGAGACCTTGCATAACAGTGCTGTAAGTAACAGTATTAGGAGTCAATTCTTTTTCAGACATTTCAAAAAGTAATCTTTTTGCCTCGTCCAGCCTTCTTCTCTTGCAATATCCATTGATCAAGACGCTGTAACTATGTACATCAGGTGCGCAACCCTTGCCAACCATGATGTCGAGCACTTTTCTGGCCTCATCCATTTGGTTCTGTAAACAATACCCATCCATCAAGGCAGTGTAGGTGTAAACATCTGGCTCGACACCTTTTTCAGTCATCGTTTCGAAGACGCACCGAGCTTCTGAAACCATCCCTTCCTTGCAGAGTCCATCAACCAGAATAGTGAACGTCACTGTATTTGGCATTACACCCCCACCAACCATTTCTTTGAACAATCTAGTAGCTTCATTCAGTTGTCCTAAATTGCAAAAACCATGGAGTATGGAGCTGTAAGTAACGACATCTGGTGGAATATCCCGATCCACCATTTTAGATAAGAACTCCAAGGCCTCGTTAACTAGCCTATCTTTGCAAAGGCTGTCTATGATTGTACTATATGTCACCACATCTGGCTTGCATCCATTTTGTTCCATCTTCTTCAACACGTGAACAGCCATATTTGTGTTGCCACTTTTGCACAAACCATTGATTACTGTATTATAGCTAATTACATTGGGCTCATGCCCTCTCCGTACCATCTCATTAAACAATCCTACTGCCTCTTTAATCTCCCCCTCATTGCAGAGCCCATTAATGAGTGTATTGAATGTGATAGCATCAGGTTGAATACCTAGTTTGAATATCTTAGCCAAGACAGAGACAGCAGAATCAACATGGTTCAAGCGACAAAGGCAGGTAATCAATATATTTAGAGAATAAACATTGTGGGTAACTCCAAACAAATCCATCTGACTGCACAAAGAGACAACAGAGGAATACTGTTTCTTTTTGGCAATGGACCCTAAGAATTTGCCAAATTCCACAACAGAAGGCTTAGGATTCCTGCGGACCATGCGATAGAATGAAGTCAAGGCATCATCAATACTAATGTCATTGCTAGTATTACTAACAAACCCACAACGTTTTTGAGGCAAAGAAGGTTTCTTAGTACAAGCAGAAGTGGTGACGTGGTGATGATTGAAGAATGAGAAAGAAGGGAAATTAGGAGGCAAAGGAAAGATACCCATTTTCACATGTTGAAGAAGAAGCCGAATAGCAGAAGAAGAAGCCGTAGCTCTAAAAGCGCCTTTCCGCATGAACATCATCATTGTTTGATTAAAAAGCTGCCGGTCTCTCTCCCACTCTCGCTGTTCCTTTGCCTCCTTTGAAAGCTGGAGATGGCAGTCAACTGCCGTCTTCTTTCTATTTGAAGGCCGAAATAATGGAATTCGATATCAATAAATAGTCGGACCGCCCCAATTTGCATATGAGAAAAATCTCGAGTAGCCCTGTATTTTCCCTTGAAAAACTTTGCCTTCAACATGAAATAAAAAAAATTAAATCTGAAAAACAGTTAAGAGACCAATATAATACTAATATATTATAGATCAAACTTTAATTCTTCTGATCTAACTTGAAGACATGAATTATAGGTCAGGTGGTATTAGTATTTTGTTGTAAAGGTATTTTTTAAAAATTTTATTTTTTTAGTTTAAATTTTTTTTATATGTGTTTTTGAATTGCTTTGATACTTAAATATTAAAAATAAATTAAAAATAAAAAAAATTATTATTTTAATATATTTTTAACAAAAAAATATTTTAAAAAAACATTAAACAAATACTAAATTCTCTCCTCACATATAAAACAAAATGCATCCAAGGCTTTGTTGGTTTATATATAATTGAAAAGTATTCTTGTAAAAATTTGAATTTTTTTTCTTTAAATTTTTTGGTGTGTTAAAAATAAATTTTAAAAATAAGAAATATTATTATTTTGATTTATATTTAAATAATAGAGCTTCTGGTCAAAGCATTTTACTGTTGATACAGAATCACTCAGTGACTGTCACCTTCTATATATTGATATACCATGTAGATGAGAATAAATAAATCTCTTCTAGCTGATATCTGGGGATTTTATGACTTGACTAAAACATATGAAATAAATCAACCAATATGGATTTCTTTTCTAATAAGAAGGACTAATTTATTATTTCTCAAGAATTAAGAAGGACTAAATCTATCACCAATTGTCAATTTGGAGCATCCTTTATCCTTCAAAACCCACTGAATTAAAATTACATGGCATTTCAAGGCATTCCCTTGATAAGAATAAAATGTGCAAAATGTCAGCAATGTTGGCTAAAACACCATAACCATAGCTACCTATGAGAATTGATAACAATGAAACATGAAATGGTAACTGTCAAAAACATGCAGCATAAAGACAAGAGTGAAATTACAATATAAAGGAGGATAAAGATACCTCTGGTTCCATGATGTCCTCAAATTGAGGAGGGACCCTGATGGAAAAACCATCACCATAGAACTGAAACCAAGATTTTGTATTGGCAATGGTGGAAAGAACAGACTTTGAAGGTGAGGAAGATTCAGCTAAGGATTGTGCAAGAGGGCTTTGAGTGGTTAAGGAAGTGACACAAAGTGAAGTAGTTTTGAAGATGAACTGTCTCTTGGTGATGGTGTTGAGGAGGGCAGTGGCTAGAGGGTTAGGTTTTTGGCCAATGGGTTCTGGGTTTAGAGGGTGGTGGTGAGGAAACAGGGAGAGGAGAATGGCCATGAGATAGTGGGGTTGGATTCAATGGTAGTTAAAAAAAAAAAAAAAAAGATCTTTTTTTTTTTTAATTACTTAACTAAATTATGTTTTAACTGTACGAGCACTGGGTTGAAAATATTATCCTTCCAACTCTTGCTTTGTCTTCCACCCAACGAGAGCAGGTTAGTTTATTAACATGTAGATTTAAAATGTAATTTGTGCCAAGTTTTATAGTTAATAGTTTATTTAATTAAAATTTATTAATAAAATAAATTAATTTATGACTTGGTTAATTTAATTAAAAATTTATATGGGATTTGATTTAGTAATTTTAATATAATATTATTTTATTTTAAATTGATTTGGGTTAATTTAAATTAATTTGTTTAATATATAAATTGAGATATTAATTTATTAAGTTAACTCAAATTAATTAAAACTAAAAATTATTTTATAAAAAAATAAATAATTAATCATTTAACTTACCAAATCAATAAAGTAAATTAACTTAACCAGGTATATCTTAATTGATAAAATTTTAAATTTATTTTTTAAATTAATAATTTAAATTATATAAATCTTTAAATTATTAAAAATTTATATAATTATTAATTTTAAAATTCATAAAATTAATTAAAATACATTCCAACTAATCACAACATCACATTAATTAAAAAATAAATCAACTTCAAGTCTGTACGTACTAAAGTGTCCTCGTAGTTTTTTCCATGGTCGAGAGACGTTATCCATTTCAGATTACAGCCAGCCAGCAAATCCGAAACAAAACAAATCCAAACCACGCAATTTCCTGAACCAAAGAGAGACCAGAAAATGATGTAGAAAACATAATATCTACCTCTGTGTGTCCACCATTTCTGCTTTCAGTTCGGTTGCTCTCTCACTCTCTTTGCCATGGAAACCTTACTTTCTTCTCACACTCCATCTCCTCTCCTCAACCCAAAACCTTCCTCTTCAAAATCCCATCTGCTACCTTCACTTCAAACAAAACCAGACTCGCTCTCTTTCATCCCCAAAACCATCACTTCTAGCCTCAAAAAGCACTCCTTTGAGTCTTTTTCAGTACCCAATAGCTGGTTCATTCATGCCCAACAGGGCCTAGCAGCACTAGCCCTTTCTTTGGCACTCAACTTTAGCCCACTGTTGTACACTGGCAATGCTCAAGCATCTGAATTTGATGTGCTATATGAAGGGCCACCAAAAGAGTCATATATATTTGATGATGCTGGTGTGCTTAGCAGAGTGACTAAGTCTGATCTTAAGCAGCTGTTATCTGATTTGGAATCAAGGAAGAACTTCAAGATCAATTTCGTCACTGTTAGAAAGCTTACTGTAAATCTTTCTGCATCCCTTCCTCGTTGATTTGTACGTGTTGTTAGCCTAGGATAATATGGATCAATATTTACTCTTTCGAAGCAAGCTTTGATTATTTGAAGGAATGGAACTGCATGTAAGCTGACTCAATGGACATTAGATGCATAGAATTGAATCAAGATTATATTTGGTTGCAGAGCAAAGCTGATGCTTTTGAGTATGCTGACCAAGTTCTGGAGAAATGGTATCCCTCAATTGAAGACGGCAACAACAAGGGAATTGTTGTGCTTGTGACCAGCCAAAAGGAAGGGGCAATTACAGGGGGCCCGGCGTTTGTCCAAGCAGTTGGAGAAAATGTTCTTGATGCCACTGTGTCAGAGAACCTACCTGGTAAACTATGCACTTCTCAATCTTCAAGTTGGTAGTTATCTTTCCAATATTTCCTTATTTCATTGCGTTACATCACTTAACGAAGTACATGTATAATTTGAACCTTAAGATATGGTTTATATTATTTTTCAGTTCATAATTCAACACAATCTCACATTTTTCCCTCATAAAATCCAAGAAAGTGAAAACTTCCAACAATCTTATCAGTAATTGACCTTAAGAATATTGATTTTCTGCGGATTCAAAAGGCTCTAGGCCTCAGGCTATCATGTATCAGTCGCTGCAAAAAAGCTACCGAGGTTTAGGAATGTTTAGTAGGAGTTCTTGAATCTTGAGGTCCAATTAAATCCTGAAACTCCAACATTGTACCATTTGATCTCAGGATAAGCCCTAGAGTACTAAATTCATTCTGTGTCCTATGCTCACCTAATCAGCATCCACTGTTATGGTAGAATAGTTCCATTTTGCTACAATGAAATTTATTTTTATCAAGATCACAAATTCCTAGTATTTGCACACGATACAATTATCGAACTAACTCAGATGTCATTAATCTTAGAAACAAGGCTAAGTTACTTGTGCTAGCTCAAGTTGCAAATCTCATGAAGCTCAGATGTCATTAATCTTAGAAATGAGGCTGATTAAGCTACCTGTGCCTGCCCAAGTTGCAACTCTCATAAAACTCAAATGTCATCTATCTTAGAGCTAAGGTTATAAGCAGAAGATTTCTTGTCCATTTTTCATTTTACATCGTGATCATAAGAACTTCAACAGTTAAGATGGAGCAGTGAAGGTGATTACTGTGGTTTTCAATTGCAGTCTTGGCGACAGAAGAAAAGTACAATGAAGCAATTTATAGCAGTGCTAAGAGGTTAGTAGCCGCTATTGATGGGCTTCCAGATCCTGGTGGTCCAAGGGCTAATGAAAATAAACGAGAATCCAACTTTAAAAGCAGGGAAGAGACAGACGAGAAGAGGGGACAATTCACTCTAGTGGTTGGAGGTCTCTTGGTGATTGCCTTTGTTGTTCCTATGGCACAATACTATGCTTATGTTTCAAAGAAATAAATCATAACCCTGTTGCTAGACCTGTTTCTCAAATTATTTCCACCAGGTTTCGATAAAACCTGGTGGCACATAGTTGTACAAATGTTTGTAATGTTTTCGACGAGAACCTTGCAACCTGAGGCTACGTACATATTTTTGGTTTATGTTCATGGGAGGTGTATTAGAACCATGGTATCATCGTATTCTCACGGTATCATATCATTGTTCTGATACTATTCTAAGATGAAACCTGTGAGAAAGTAGGGTTTTGTTGTTGCAGTCTAGGGTTTTGTTGTTGCAGTCTGCAACATCAAGCTTTTATAGCTAAGAATTAGATCATGGAGCACTAATCAGAAATTTTTAATATTCTTAGCACGATGAAAAAAGCATTAATAGAATAATTACAGAATAGTAAGCAAATTAGCTCCTCAGAACTGGAGATTGAGAAGGAAAGGCATTTTATCAGCAAAAGGCGGATCCGAAAATTTTCCAGTGAGTATTTGTGATGAAATATACTGATTGGCTGCCTCTGAATAGTGAATTCCATCCCAATTCACATACTCAGTGCTATCATTGCATGTTTGGGCTGTGGCACTGGTTCCATCCAAAACTTTTGTTTGCCCACAGACAATCCTTCTGTCATAGTTCAGAGGTGGTCCTCCATAGCCACAGCATGCCATTATGGGTTGCTCAAATCCTGCAAATTTATATCCACTCAAAATCAAATATCTTTCCTTTCCTCATACTTCTCCATTTCTTTGGATAAGAAGATGATGAAAGTTTGAAAACGATTAAACAAAATCTCATATTAAAGAGAACTGAGGCATACTAACCGTATCGAGAATAATTAGCAATGAGGTTGGATTTTATTGTGTAGATATCAACATATGTGATATTTGAATCAGAATGTTGGTCTTGTAGCTTTTTTGTGAGAGCATGAAGCTGAAGATTGAAAAGTTTAGCAGCTTGATTATGCCCACTTACACATCCTAGTTCATCAAGCTTTGATGGATCAGTTCCGAATTTCGCAACATTCTGAGTCAAGCATCCAAGAGGACCTGTGTTGTGGATCCAAAAATTCCTAGCTCCTTGATCATATAGTTTCTAGTGCAAGAAAACCAATCAATCAATGAAGCAGATTTTCGTGTTTTCTTCCTTCTGAAGAAAGGTTACTGTCAAAAAATCAAAAGAAAAGGAAAGGACAGAACTATAAGCTAACCTTGATTCCAGTTTCAAATTCGACCAAAATGTTTGGGGTTGAAGCAACAATTTGATCGAATGTTTTTGAATAAAATGCACCAGCAAGATCATTCTGGCCTATATCGAACATATATAGCCCCTTCTCAAAATAATTTTCTGCTGGGATGTATTTATTAAATTTCTTGCCTGTGGAAAAGTTTAAAACATGAAAAATCTATGAATGGTTCTTACACTTCTTACAATACTTCAGACATTAACTTTCTAGGTTTTATCAAACTGAATCCATGCCACTTTCAATCAAGTTTTCCTCAACAATGGCTTGCAATAAGAGAGTGAACCACGCACATACATACCTTTGGCCAGCAGTTCAAGAACCCGAGCTTTGAATCGTAGAAACTGATTCACTTGAACTCCGAAGGAAAATGGGCTCACAGATGTTGCAGTTGCTGGAAGTATAGTTGATCCTGCAGCTGCAAAGTTGCATCCTTTACGAAAATTCGGCACCCCAACTGACTCCAAATATGCATTTAGGAAGGGCAGCTCCATTGCATCCACTGAAAACCACACCCAAATGAATAAAAAAACTATGCAACACTTTATACTTGAAAACAGAGGAAACAGGGCATATGAACATGAAAGAAAACGGCAGAAAGGAAGATTTCAGATTCACAACTTCTAAATGCACTGCTGATTCCATTAAATCTTGCCATAAACAGCAAGCAACTCCATAATCTCATTAAAAAAAGATAGGGATTGAGCATAAAAGTAACATTACAGTATATAAACAAGGCAAAAAAAACATTTTTTCATACTAAAAACATGGAATAAAGGGGAGTACGGAGGAGAAAAACAGAAGAAAGAGCAGAGGAAACAGGGGGACGCAGAGCATAAAAACAGAGCTGACATGATCAAGAACTAAAAAGCATGAAATCGTCAATGGAAGTGGGAGACTTACTGAGGAAATCAATAATGAGACGGCCATCACAGTATCTCCCAGATGGTATCTGGAAGTGAATTTCCCCATAAGGTGGTCTAATGCTTTCAATGCCGGCCGCCACCAGGTTGCCAGTGTCAGAATTCGAGTCACCAAAGTTGAAAACAGCAGGAAACTTGAAGTGTATGGATTGTGTTAGTGGCAGGAAGATGGACACTAAGGTGAGAAAAATGGGGATACAGTTCCTGGATGCCATTGGAAGGGGAGAGCTATGTCGGGTGATGAGATGTGTTCCTTGATGAAAGAAAAAGACGAGGAACATAAAGCTTTCACTTTAAATATTAGTCACCAACCATAAAGAAATAAATAAATAAAATTGATGGTGGGGCCATTGGGTGCAATTGAAGAATCCTAGAAGTTATTTGAAAGGGACACCCGAGAGGAAAAGGAAAAATCAATCTTCCTGTTTGGATGTGTGATTGAGCATTGCTTTGCCTGAGGGTATGAAATTAAATATAGCAATATCACTTTAAGGGTTTTGATTTGATAGACACTCTGTTGTTGGTTTGCTTGGTCAGTTCAGGTTTGTTTCAAAATGATATTATTTTATTTTTTTAATGAAAATAAATTGTTGTAGATAAAAATTAAAATACTTAAACGATATTATTTTAAATAAAAATAAAAAACAAATCCTTATACTTGACCTGATCGGTCCTATCCTACCAAGATTCAATAAGGTCTTTTGAGTCATGAATCATCAATTTATATAAGTTTGATTGGTCAATATTTACTCCAGGAAAAGAAAAGAAAAGAAACCCTAGTTCGAACCAAGTTTGCATGCAATAACCCAAGCATATTACCATGTCGACATGGTGTGCGAACCGGTTTAATAACTATTAGCGATATAGCATAAGTAGAGTAGCTATTGTAAAGTGTAAACAAAATCATTTTGCATGCAATAAAAGTGGCAAAGTTTGGCAAGGTTAGAGGTAGAAACTTTACTTAGAAAATCAACAGTGAGACGGCCATCACAGAACCTTCCTGTGGGAGTTTTGAAGTAAGTTTGTCCATTAGGTGGGGCAAGTAGGAACCCTAGGCCAGCAGCAAGGTCACCTGTGTCAGAGTTCGAATCACCAAAATTGAAAACTGCAGGGTAATTGAAATCAATTGAGTTTATAGTGGATGATAGGATGGATAATAGGGTGAGAATTTGCAGAGCAATGTCTCTGGCAGCCATGATCATCAGCTGCTAATTTCCAATCCTAAGAGTGCAAGGAGGAGTGCGACGATTAGAGAAGTTTGGTGCTTTTCATGGACATTGGGAATGCTTGCTTGGAGTTATGGAAAGGCAAGGTGAGAGCCCCATTTGCCCCAGAAGCCAAGTTTTTTCCTTCTTTTTCTTGATTGTATTGCGTACCTGGAATTGTTGTTTCCTTACCTCACTATTTTACTCCATTGTTTTTCGTGGGTGCACGCGGAAGACGACGACTAGCACCATTACGCACATCACCCCAAGACTCAAGAGTCCGAATTAATCTCATAGATCTTTAGACTAACTACACAAATTGGTAGTAGTGATTGTCATGCCGGAGATTTTGAAGAAGTTGAGATGTCAGATGCAGAGTTAATGGCATTGAACAATTTTAATATGATAAATCAATGCAGGAATGGTAGGAAATAGTTGTTTGAGCCGCCATTTAGTAACGCGTCTAAACAACGTTCTGTAATGTTTTAAAGATTAAAAAATTTATATACAGTGAAATTAAAAATATTTATAAAAAATAAATAAATTTGGACAAACATTATAAATATTGTCAAATTTTAAAAAGTTTACAAACCTATGAAACCGAATCTAGGTCTCATAAAAGAAAAAAATGGAATTTAATTCAAGCTATTCTTTTAGATCTATTTTTCATATTATGTTACTGAGTGATCCTATTAAAAACAAACTCAAAAAAATAAAAATGTAAGATTTTTAATTAAATAAATATTAAGAGATAAAATTTAAAAAAATTATAAAAAAAATAACAATTAAAAGAATTAAAAATAAATTCAATATAAAAATTACATGTTTAGAGAAAAATCAAATAAAATTAAATGTTTATGGATGAAATTGTAAAAAGAAAATCCATTAAGAAAATAATTACAAATTACAATTAAAAGAATTAAGACCACATTTAACATGAAAATCAAATGAAAATAAATGCACATGGGTGGAATTAAAAAGGAACAAATCAATAATAAAATGATTCAAAATATCACAAATAAAAATTAGAAAAATGATAATCAAATTTGAAAAAAATATCAAATAACATGGGATGAAATCAAAATTAAAATAAAATTATACATAAATTATACAAAAAAATGGGTGAATTTAAAAAAATAAATTGAAGAACTTACATAAATTTTTGTATGGCTAGCACATAATTTTAAAAAAATAAATAAATAATTTTGGATCAAACCACTTCACACATGCCAAGCAAAAAGAAATAAGATACCAAAATAAATTAAATAATACAGTGGTTAAAATCACTTCAGCCAGTCGCATGCATGACTAAAAGGAGTAGAGAGTACTCATCAACAATTTTTTGATTTTTTTGTGCATAAACAAAAGATATCCTTAAAATTAAACTATAACCCCAATGAAATTATAGTCAAACCCGTAAAGCCAAAGCTAAAGAAATTGATTTGTAAAGCTAATGTGGTTATCTAGCAACTTTATAGAATATAAAAATACAAAAATATTTTTTTTATAGAAGACACTGAATTATTTTATTTAAGGTTTATATTAATAATCTTACTATGCATTAAAAAAACATAATTACCAAAATAACTCCATAATCCTTAAATAATATTTATATTATAGTTAAAAAATCACTTTGTCCCCCAAATAAAAATAAAAAATAAAATAATCAAGAGAGAAAATAGTTGGTATATTACTGTAATGAATAGAAATCCGTGTCCTGTGATACAGAAATATTGCCAAGGAATTAGTTTTGTGGATATTGTTTTTTCGAATAATCAGAATTTACCTTTTATATAAGATTTTCAGCCCT